ATTGGCTTTAATTACAAAGTTTCCATTTCACTCAGTTAAGAAATACGTAAAATTATTCAATCTTCAAAGACTTTTTTAAAAGTATGTGACAAGAGAAAGGAAGATGAGCATTTTTAATTACTTCATGTGCATTAAAAAATTAGATAGAAAGGCACAACTTCCCTATCTTCTACAATCTTCTATTCTTAGCAGCTTCTGAAGCAACGGTTTGAAGAAATAAGTTCTCTGAATGCCAAAGGACTTCCTAGAGTTCTATACATAAAGGATTAGAACAGGAATCTTGAAAAACTCATCATACATTTTCAAAGAATGTTCACACACCATTAATACACAAATTTAAAAGGAAAAATCAGTTCAATCATGATTTAAGCCCTAAACTGCTAGTTTATCTGTAAGATGAAGAGGTTAAGAGACAGTCTTTAAGTTTCCTTCTGGCAATACAATGCTACAATTTATTCATAGTAGATATTGAGTATCCACTACTTGCAAAACATTATGCTACAAAGTTTTATACCTAAATTGTATTTGCCCCTTGAAAGCACCAAGTAGGAGTCCTTTATTCAGCTTTCATTTCTTCACTGGGTTCAGGATGGTAAATAAACTAGCTGTTGGGACTTATTTTCCATTTTCACTTCCACAGGCACTGCCTAAACCTTTGCTGTCCAATATCATAGCCACTAGCCACATGTTACAACTGATCATTTAAAATGTAGCTAGTATGAATGGAGATGTAATGACACTGTAAAATACACATTGGATATCAAAGACTTAATACAAAAAAACAATGTAAAATATCTCATAAGTTTCAGTACACAGGAACCACTGGATTTAATATTAAAATTAAATTTTTTTTGGAGACAGAGTCTAGCTGTGTCGCTCCAGCTAGAGTGCAGTGACAGCATCATAGCTCCCTATAACCTCAAACTCCCAGGCTCAACCAATCCTCCTACCTCAGCCTCCGGAATAGCTAGGACTACAGGCAAGAACCACCTCACCTGGCTAATTTTTTCTATTTTTAGTAGACACGGGGTCTCACTCTTGCTCAGGCTGGTCTTGAACTCCTGTGCTCAAGGGATCTTCCCACCATTCCTTCCCAGAGTGCTAGGATTACAGGCGTGAGCCACCGTGCCTGGCCCTGTTTCTTTCTACTTTTAAAAATTAGGCTTTACAAAGTTTAAAAATATATGTGGCTCACATTATATTTCTATTTGGTGTAAACATTTGGTCTGTTTTGTTTAGAGACAGGGCCTCACTCTGTTGCCCAGGCTGGAATGCACTGGTGCCATCATAGCTAACTGCAGCCTCGAACTCCTGGGCGTAAGCGATCCTCCCATCTCAGCCTCCAGAATAGCTAGGACTACAGGTGTGTGCCACCATGTCCAGCTAGTTTTATTTTTTGTAGAGACTAGGTTTTGAACTCCTGGCCTCAAGTGATCTTCCCGCCTTGGCTTCCCAAAGTGCTGGTATATAGGTGGGTGCCACTGCGCCTGGCCTTTCTTCATCTAAAGTCTTAAGGACCTCATCCAAATTAACATGACCTCTCTTCATCGCCCTGATCACAAAGGCAGGGTAATGAACAATTATTCACATTTCTCTTGTTGTATTAAATAATTTCCTTTTCTTGTTATTTCCACGTCCGGCCCATGATCTACTTTCATTATTACTTGCAACCATATCCTGTACTGTGAGGGTTATGAATGATACTTATTTTACTCTGAATTTTAGATGAGAAAGGGGATGGTGGTTCTATTCAGTCTTTCTTCAATACTTTGAAACAAAGAATATGTCCCACACACACAGGTATCATAACATATACATTTCTTGACTAGTGAATCCGATACAGAAATATGCCTCCAAGGTTCCTAAGCCTGGAGGACTGGACTTCCTTTTCACAAGTGTTATTTTCCCTCCTCACTACCAGTAACCCCTCCTTCCTTAAAAACAGAACTTTTAAAAATTTTCGTTTTATCTTATTTTTTGGAGATTGGTCTCAAACTCCTGGGCTCAAGCGATATTCCCACCTCAGCCTCCCAAGTAGCTGGGACTATAGGTATCTGCCACCACTCTCAGCTAAATAGGATGACTTTGATCAGCCTGTCGTTACTGTTATTGAATATCTTCTGTCTCCCTATTGTTAATCACATGACTGCCTATGCAGGACCATGACAGGAAAAGTGAAGTAGCCATTGAGCTTAGTCACATCCCTTATTTAAGACAGAAAAATGGAAGTCTTTATAATTCCCTTAGACATTAAGATTAAGCATTTTTAAATGAATATACTTTCCTTCTCTACTTATCTGACTTCCTTCCTTTAAAGAAAGCTGATCATGTTAAGAGGCTTATTTATTTCATATTTTAAAACCACTTATGAAACAATTTATACAGTGAACTTGGGAAACTTTATTAGATCTGGATAAAAAGAAAAAACATTCAGTAGCGGCAATGAAACAAGGGCATTTTGAGATTAATATAAATATATATGTATAAAACAAGCAGAATGGGGGTGGGGAAAAACAAGTGGAATAGTTGAAAATAGGTCAGTGAAAAACACAATCAAAAAAACTTATTCTGTGTAGAAATCACATTTTTTTTTTTTTTTTTGAGACAGAGTCTGGCTCTGTTGCCCTGGCTAGAGTACCGTGGCATCAGCCTAGCTCACAGCAACCTCAAACTCCTGGGCTCAAGCGATCCTCCTGCCTCAGCCTCCTGAGTAGCTGGGACTACAGGCATGCGCCACCATGCCCAGCTAATTTTTTTCTATATATGTATTTTTAGTTGTCCAGATCATTTCTTTCTATGTTTAGTAGAGATGGGGTCTCGGTCTTGCTCAGGCTGTCTCGAATTCCTGACCTTGAGCGATCCACCCACCTTGGCCTCCCAGAGTGCTAGGATTACAGGGGTGAGCCACCGTGCCCGGCCTAGAAATCACATTTTTACGTTTTGCTTTAGCATTGTTTTACTTAAGAGGAGGTAGTCTTTTATTAGAATTTGGTTTTCTAATAGAATATTTATATTGAAGTTTGACATTTTAAACAAAGTATTTTAAAGCAGAAAGGCACTTCAAGAATAAAGAGTTTTATGTACTTATTTTATAGATAAGAGATTTAAGTGATACGTGCAAAGTCCTAAGGCTACTGAGAGAAGAATGAAGACATGTATGTTAGTTTAGCTTGTTCCACTATGTATTATGCTGCCTTAGTCCTTCTTTAACTTTCCATCTCATAAAAGAAATACTTAAGTTCAGACCTATACAACTAAAAGATTATGTTAGCACTATTAATGCTCGTTTTATTTGGACAGAAAGCATTTCAGAAATATGAACGGGAGAAATGAAGACTGATGGGTTGAGTGTTGAAATAACTAAATCTTGTTAAAATGTTGGTAGGTATCGGAGGTTCACATAATTTATTTGAAATTTCCAATACACTGCTTATCTTTTAGAAAATGTGGGCAAGGGGAATGAAGTCTGAGTCTGTTACTTTCTTCAGCTTAAGGCTAAAAATATTTATGAAATATTTTAATTGGAGGTACTAAATATTCTAAGGAATGTACATCTGAATGGAAGATTTTAATAATAATAACTTGAATAACTAAGTTATTATTCCATGTACAAACTATACCTTTGTAAGGAATATAACTATGGATATAATACTAGGACATCATTCTAGTGGAACTCTATTCCTGGTAAGCCTATTTTTTGCCCAATATTAATTAATGAGACAAGATAGCATCTGCTATATATTACTAATGAATTATTCATTTCTCAAAAGTATTTATCCATAGTAGAAGCAAAAGAAGATTGTAGTATTTCTGCTTCAGTTTCTTTTTAAAAGGGCAAACATTATTTTGTGTCTCCTGAGATTTTTTTTTTCCTGTTCAATTCACTATTTTTTCTTAGAGACAGGGCTATGTTGCACAGGCTGGAGTGCAGTGGCTATTCACAGGCACAATCAAGCACTACAGCCTTAACTCCTGTGCTCAAGCAATCCTCCTGCCTCAACCTCCCTAACTAGAACTACAGGCACATGCCACTACTTGTGGCCCAAGTCTTTATAATAAACTTATGCATCATGTAGGCTTCTGGGGTATGAGTATAATATGAATATAAATATAACATATGTATGACTATATATTTCATATTTATATCAAATATAAATATGAATATATATAACACCTATAGTAGGCTTAACATTTCAACTGAAATAAGTGGAAGCAAACACATGCTGAGGATACTCTGGTATATTATTAAATACTTCTATCCAGTAAGCCACAAGAGAGGGCTTAGTTATACATACCATATCTTGTTCCTCTGGAAGGGAGATGTGGTTGTTAAGCTCAAGAAAAGGGGTGTTTTTAAAGAATACTTTTTAAAAAACAAAAATAACTCTGATTCCAGTTATAACTTAAATCAGCATTAAGGATAACAGCTGTCTAAGCAGCACACAGAATAAGTAAGAAGGCTGCCAAAGACAATTTCCCTTTATTTGAAATTTGCTTTGTGCTGTCCTTGTTTATTCATCAAATAATGGTATATTTTAGTATGGTACCATTCCTTGTCAATTATGATCATAGATGACCTTTTAGGTTTTTTTAAAAAAAGATAAGGAATAAATTAAATATATGCAAAGCTTAGATTCTGAAGATAACATAAGATGAGTAAAATCCATGGGACTTTTAAGAGAAGCAAATACATTTTTTCCCTAATTCTTAGATTGGGCACTTATTATAGGGATGGATAAAAACAAGCCAAGACAATTTATTCTCTTCTTTAACCCAAGACAACCAAGAGATAAATGTTCTTTGATATATGATGGTTTCATAAGAAAACTTCAGCTTCATTTAGTCATTTAATAATGTAAGAGTTCAATTTTTTCTGTTAATTAAATTAAGGAATCACAGCATCATCCATAAACGTCTAGAAAAAAAAGTTCCTTCCTATTAAAAATGCTTTAAAAATATCCCTGATATGTTTACATACCCAAATAATTTGTTACTAATACTTCACAAGGAATATCATTTTATTACTGTAATCACAAAATCATAATTTCTGTACAGGAATGTATAAGTGAACATTAATCAATGCATTGATAATTCACTTCATAAAGAGGGTAAACATACTACAGAACATATTGTAAAGAAAAAAATATTGTCAAATTTTCTGGCCTTGCAGTGCACTTTTTAGTGCAAGTATTTAAGACACAATAGTGTTCAATTCAGCAAAGTATTGCAGAATGTCATGCCACAGTCCACTTAATTCAAAGAGGGTCAGGACATGCAGCTTGTAATAAAATGTCAGAGTGTGTGTGTGTGTGTGTGTGTGTGTGTCTATGTATATATAAAACCACATGTAATTCATAAAATATATAGTGGTTTATTTAGATGGTTTTAAATGATTTCACTGTGGAATTCAGCATAACTGGAACAAACATCCAAGGTCTTCTTAAGAGGAATAATCTTATTGCTAGGCAATGGCTTTGGCTTCAGGTAGGAATGCTTCCCAGTATTTTATCAGCTGTGGATGATAATAAAAATAAAAGATGTTCTTATTACCTTTTTGTCAATTATATGCATATATCCTATATTACATTAAACAAAAATCTATAGAAATAGCTAACAATGATTCACATTTACTAATGTCTGGCTTTCAAAGGGATCAATTTAACTTCCTTATCTGAAGTCTTTTAATATAATTCACATATAAACTATTTAAAACACCAATTACTCCTAATTAGTTTTAAATGTAAACAATATAATTTTTGAAAACTTATAATTTTTTGATTTATGCAAAATTGTATAGATTGTTACCACATATTAAAGATTACCTTAATACAACTACAATTACTTTTTCCAACATACAGTGATAATATCTCCTAATTCAGAGGATATTCACATTTGGTGTTACTGCTAGCCAAGAAAAATGAGATAAAAGGAAGAAGAAAAGAAAACACTGAGCAAGAAAGGAAAAAAAGGGACTGGAAAGAATTAGCTGTGAGTCTCCCCCAGACAGTTCAGAGAATAGATTGAAGTATATACTAAAGTTACCTTTAAAACAATTCCTTTAGAAATAAGCTTATATGACTTATTTGTATTCATATTTTAAAAAATTGAACTTTATGAATTATTTGATTAGAAACTAAATACATGCTGGGTATGGTGGCTCACACTTGTAATCCCAGTGCTTTGGAAGGCCGAGACAGGAAGATTGCTTGAGGCCAGGAGTTGAAGAACAGCCTGGTCTTGCTGTGTTGCCCAGGCTGTCTTGCAACACAGCAAGACCCCACCTCTTAAAAAAAGTTAAAAAACTAGCTGGCGAGGTGGCACATGCATATAGTCCTAGCTCCTTGGGAGGCTGAAGCAGGAGGCTCACTTGAGCCTAGGAGTTCAAGGTTACAATGAGCTATGATCACGCCACTGAACTCCAGCCTCAGTGACTATGAAGACATCATAATTACTTAATTCAAAAACATAACCTATTATATTTTAAATAAATAAGTTTCTAGATCACATATCACATATTTTAAAACTAGAAGAAGAAATCCTTCTATTTAAGACATTAAATTATTTGATCTATTACTCAAATTTACATTAAAATATACACAAAACACTCTGCTATTATCTTACTATCTCGTTACTGACTTTTACTTAATGTACCATTAAAACCCATGGTCTTCACTAGTTAGAGACAAATGCCATTTGCAGCATGCAACCACCACCAACCCCCCCAAAATAAAACAAAAACAAAAACAGTACAAATTTTTTTAAAAATTAAAAAAAACAGAACTTAGTTTAAGTTCTATCTGTTAAGGAAGAACGTTCTATGAGAATTTACTTAAACAGGTCTGACCAACAAAGAAACAACAAGAAAGACAGAGGAAGGGAAAGTTGTCCATGAGGTTCCTTATGGCTTAAAATTGGGAAAAGTGTATCTCTGCTAGTGTTTGGTAGAGACAAAAAGGACTTGAGATATTTTCCAATTAGTTAAAGTAATTTATTCCATTTATTCCTTTGCTGTCACTGGCGTTCTCTCTCCATTTCTTATTTTCTTCCTTGAGTTTAAAAGCCTATTTCATTAATCATCTTCTTTAAAATAAAAAAGTATACCAAAAACCAATTCTAAAAGTTTGTGAGTTATTAAAAAAAAAAATCAGCTTACCTGTTGTTGTGTTTGTACTAATGATTCTAAGTACTTGATGATAACAGTTTTAAAATCCTTCACTCTTTCTTTCTATTAAAGTACAATATATGAAAAAAAAAAAGTCCATTAGTAGAAAACTAAATTTTACCACAAAATTGCAGCAAAATGTGACCATGCTATTATGAAAAGTGCAAAATTATTATACATGCCTCAAATCTTCCCACTTCTTTTCGAATTGTTTTAGAGATCTGTTCAAAATCTCTTTCTCCTTGTTGCACTTTTGCCTCCCACTAATAAAAACAAACAAAAAAAGAAACAAATATTTTATTCCTGTCTGGAAAAAAAAAACTGTAGTACTAGCTGTTATGACCACTCTTTTAATTTAAATATAATGCCTGGAAACCCTAAGAAAGCTCAATAAAGGCAAAGCCCAATTTAGCATTATTCAAACTTGTACGTAACTTTCTAGCGACAGAAATGTCAGTTTAATTTCCATTAATATTTCACTGCCAGATTTGCTCAAGATTAGAATATTCTAATACTGTATTTAATGAACTACAATATCCAAAGCTTAATTAAATATAACTAAGAGGAAAGATTTTGGGTATAAAATTCACTACCAAATAAATGAGCAGTGTGTTACAGTATAATTTTCTCATTTCTTTTTTGTATCATTAATTATTTCAGAATATATCAACAATATTGTTAACTTCAAGAACATGTGTTCAACACAATTTATATGCCCACGGAAATATTTTAAACTAGAAATTGTATGACCAACATTAAAAACCATTTTTGTAATGGTAAAATGACCAGATTCTTTTAAAAAGTAGAATTATGGTATACTGAAGACCCATCATCAGTAAACATTAAATTCAGTACAGAAACAACAAAATGTTGTGATTAGTGACCAATGGAACAGCTAAAATAAAATAACTGAAGATTTTTAAGCAATGAAATGATATTTTTCCCACTATGTAACCAAAACACTGGTACATACTCTTCAAAGAGCAGGTACATTTATTTTTAGTAATATAAAGGTTGTCCTACCTCTTCAATTTCCTTATTGAAGCATGGCAAAAAAAGTGTATAAATTATAATAAACTTATACAGATTTACTAAAATACCATATATAATACATATATATGGGGGATAATGTTGCCTTGACAGCTAAATGTGGGTTAGGTCTCTCTCTAAAACCATTTTTAGACACAAAATAAGTAATTATCTGAAATAAAATTAAACACCTAAAAAGAAATGTGTAATTATTAACATAAAGATTAATTTTAGGTCTTTTCCTTGTATCCTTCTTTATTTAGTCAACAATCATGTGGAGGTAACAAAGGGTTCTAGAGATTTTAATGATGATCAAAATGTTAACATAATTCTAACACAGTTCATAAAAATATGGAAAAATAGCTAAGTGCTGAATGGTTCAGAAAAAAATTTATGAAAAATTATGTATATATGAATGACTCATGAAAATTTTGAGTAAAGAGATAAAGCATTTAGTAATCACCTCTCTTATTTCATTTTTAGCTTGCTGTATTTTATCTGGTTTGTTAGCAACCGTCATTTTTGCCTCAGTTTCACGTTTTTTGAGCAAAGTAATTTGAGCATCTTCCCACTTCTGCCAGCACTTCATTCGATGGTCAAACACACCCTATGAGTGAATGACATAATGTATTAAGTAAGAGTAACACTATATAATACTTTCATAACACTAGAAGTGCTATAATACTGAAAGCAATAAAACCAAGTATTTATGTGCCATTCTAATATACTAAGATACCGAAAATAAGCAGACCAATATCAAAGAAAAGCAATTTCCATATTCTTACTTAAAACAAAAAACCCTGGCACTGAATGAAAAATGAACACTCAGAATCATATAATGACATGCAAAATCCATTTCACCAGCCTTTAGGGTTTTAAATGTGGTTTATAATAAGATTTCTAGGCCGGGCGCGGTGGCTCACGCCTGTAATCCTAGCACTCTGGGAGGCCGAGGCGGGAGGATCGTTTGAGCTCAGGAGTTCGAGACCAGCCTGAGCAAGAGCGAGATCCCGTCTCTACTAAAAATAGAAAGAAATTGGCTGGACAACTAAAAATATATAGAAAAAATTAGCCGGGCATGGTGGTGCGTGCCTGTAGTCCTGGCTACTCGGGAGGCTGAGGCAGGAGAATCGCTTGAGTCCAGGAGTGTGAGGTTGCTGTGAGCTAGGCTGACGCCACGGCACTCTATCCCAGGCAGCAGAGTGAGACTCTTGTCTCCAAAAAAAAAAAAAAAGAGATTTCTAACAGAGTTTTAGGCTTTGAAGAAAGATATCTTTAACAGGAAAATGCTGGTGTCATATCTACATTGGAAATTTTCCTACTAAATAATATTAAAAGCAGATTTAAGTGTCAGAAACATGTCAGAAATTGAATAAATAAAATGAGAAAAACTCATAAGATAACAGAAATTAAATAAAAATGAGGTGGAAGAGATTACAATAGCAAATTTAAAAAGGTATAACTAAATGAAAAAAAAGTCCTACACAAGATAAAAAAGGCAAAAGATAAAAAGATGAATACACACACACACAATGTAAAACTAAATGAAATAAGCAAAAGACCCTAACACAACAAGTCAATCAAATCCAACCAAATCTAGAGCTTCTCTCAATGGGTCTGGCAGAGCAAAAGCAAGTGAATAGAGATAAGAAATGAAACATGGACATAGAATACCTAGAAGTTTCATGATAAAGCTGATGGGTACAACGGGTGAATCCACTAAGAATCCCTCTTCTAGCTGGATGTTGGGGATATATTAGTATTATTTTAGTATTTACTAACTGAACATTCATGAAGCAAACATTAATAACCAGAAAGCACTAAACCAGAGTTACTTTAATTTATTCCAAATAAAAAACTTTTTGAATAAATAAGTAGTAAATAAATATATGTTCCTACAGGGACCTGCTGAAGAGAAAAATACACAGATAGTGTATTTTTAAAAAGTAGGCTTTGGAACAAAACAAATTTGGGTTCTAATGTAAGTTTTGTCACTGTATGACCATGGGTAAATTCATTTAATTTCTCCATAGTTCTCCCAAATATAAAAGGGGGAAATGTCTACATTTGTGAATTATATTAACATGATAAGTATATTATTGCACAGTGACATAACCTACAGGATGCTTAATAATTTGTAGGTATTAATATTATGGATTACTTCTAAGTAACATACATACTTAAATATAGTTGATTGATTAATTCTAGCTTTCTACTAAAAGTACAAATAACAATATTTTTAAAAAGCATAATTGGGCAATATTTATATCATATTGCATATTTAAAAGTGTGGGCATTATTAGCATTAAAAAATCCAATCAACCAGAAATGAAAGTATTTTTTTCCAAAGAGTTCTTAAAAATTGTTAACTTTTAACCAGAACAACAGATATCCTGAGCAAACTAGTAAGTCAAAGCACCTTATCTACAGGTATTTAAATCCACCTTGCTGTATTTGTCATCTCATTTCTCTTCTTACACATATATTAGTAAGTGCATCTCACTGTCCCCTTTTGCTTTTCTTATATTTACAAAACCACATTTCCTCCCTAAAACATTCGTTAGAAATTAACTTTGCTTCAGTCAAATTAATTTGGGCCAAATTCACAAAAGTAACACATTGAACACAAATAGATTCAGAAAAAGTCCCTATCATGTAAAACAAACAATCCTTTTCCCTCACCTCCTATACATGCATACACCCCCAACCCCCACCAAAAAGTAATCTAAGATTTTAGGCCTAGCCTTTCTTCAGGGGAGCAGGGCCATCTCAGCTCTTCACTTATAAATTTCTCTGTTTGATAACAATTTCAGCACTTAAAATATGTATCAGCACAGGGCAAAAGCTAGCCAAAATGCCCTTTAAGTTCAATATTTGCTTAAGTTCTTAATATACATCAACTGGCTTTTTCATTGATATGCTAAATCTAAACTAATTTGGTTCCTGTCCAATTTATTATCTCGTAATATTTCAGAATAATCACATGTTTATTGTGGCGCAGATGTAGAAGCTATGGTAAAGTCAGGTTATTTCAGAAAAATAAATTAATCTTAAATATGCAAATTAACTTTTTCTTCATTTGTTTTCCCACCGTTGTAATGTTAGAAAGCAAAAGAAAAAAAGAATCAGAACCATACTCAAACTTCTAATAACGCTATCTTAAATTAATTAAATCATAACTTAATGTTTCCCTTTATATGTCAAGATACTAATCCACTCTAGTAGAACCAACATTTTCTATAAAAGGGATAAGTTTACACTGATCATATGCTTAGGACCTCTATTCCTCTGCCAATTTCTGGCATATGCAAGCTAGTCTAGGTTAGACAAGGTTGCAGACGTAGAATAGTTTTCCTAGCCCACCAGGAAATTTGACACTGCAATTTTAATGATTATAATATTTTAATTTGGTGAATCTGAAAGTATGCTGCCCAGCTTCCTGGGGTTTTGAAGGGGTGCTGAGTTTTTATAGCCAAATAATAAAGGTTTTGAACTCCTTGGGGAACCTATCTATTAGCTTTTAAAAAAACATGTTTTATGTATTTTATAAAGTGGGACCTCCCTATAAGAATTCTTTATGAAGAGTTTCAGTGCTAAAAACATTAAAAACCATTGCCCTCAATCCCTGACCCTTCTATAGTGGTTCACATTAGCCCAATATATGACAACACTTACAATGATGCTACCCAAAATCTGTAGTCCTAAATGTCAGAGGCCATGTACTGCACAAAAAAGAAAAACGGGAATTTCTTGGATACAAGGCCAGGTTTAGGCAATGTTTTGAAATGGGTAAAATTTATGTCTTTCTTTAGGGCCCCAATTCCTGAAGTTCTTAGCTCCCCACTATGGCTCTATATTCTAATCCCCAAAGTATTCCTAGCTTCAAAATTATCATCAGAAAAGCACTCTCAATATGAATAAAACAAAAGGCCAATTAATATTAAGTTGCTATTAGAAATAGACAAAAGGCAAACTGGGCAAAGGACATGAACAGTTCATTCACAGAAAAAGAAATATAAATGGCTTATTATTTGTAAAGATGCTGAAATTCATACTAAGTAAAGAAATTACAACTCATACAAAAAAATGCCTTCATCATTGGGTGGAAGAAAAAAGGAACATATGTTGGTGAGAGTACGAAGTACAATCTCTTTGAATAGTAATTTGGCAATATTTATCGAAATTTAAAATGCATATACCCTTTGGTCAACAATTCTATGTCTAGGAATTTTATGCCCAAAGAGTTGTTAACAAAATATTTGATATTCTTTAAGACTGGACTGGTTAAATAACTCAAGGTAAATCTACGTTATATGATGGAATGCTATGCTACCATTAAAAAGACTGTAACATATTTACCTATATTGATATGGAGGTCCCTCTAAAATGGAGCACATGGAAAAAGCAGACAAAGAATAGTGCATATAGGCTGGGCATGGTGGCTCATGCCTGTAATCCCAGCACTTTGCAAGGCTTAGGGGGGAGTATCACTTGAGGCCAGGAGTTCAAGATAGGCCTGGGCAAAATGGTGGCATATATCTGTAGTCTCAGCTACTTGGGAGACTGAAGGAGGAGGATTGTTTGAGCCCAGGAGTTTGAGATTACAGTGAGCTATGATTGTGTCACTGTACTCCAGCCTGGGCAACAGAGCAAGACTCTATCTCTTAAAAAAAAAAAAAAAAAAAGAATAGTACAATACATATAGTATGTTCCTTTTTGAGAAAGCAAAGAAGAGAGGGAGATGGAAGAAACAGAGGGAGATGGAAGGAAGAGGGAGGAGAACTGAGGGAGGGGGAGGCGGGGAGAGAGAGAGAGAGAATATTAGCTTCATATACATGCATAGCTAATTCTGTGCAGACACACAAGAAGCTAACAGTTTATGACTGAGGTCAGAGAGACTAGAGGTTTTAGTTCTGTAGAAAGGAAATTTACCTTTTGGGGCTGACAAAATTGTCATGTGCATGTATTACTTTTTCATATACAAATGAATTGGTTTATTTATTTATTTATTTATTTTTGAGCTGGGGTCTTGCTACATCTCCCAGACAGGTCACCAACTCCTGGTCTCAACCAATCATCCCGCCTCAGCCCTCAGAGTAGCTGGGAACGTAGGCAAGAGCCACCGCGCCTGGCTTGAATTAGTTTAAAACAAAAGACAAAATAAAAACAAAAACCATAAACATTACCTATCACAGTCTTCTATATTTTCTCAACTCCTTTATGCAGTTGACCTGAGCTAGGTTTCAATAAAAAACCAATCTGAAAGAGCTTAATTTGCCTCAAGGTATAACCTGACCATAGCTCTTTAGTTCTCTTTTAAGTTAATGGACCATTAATTCAGTATTTCCCAAAGTGTGTTCCATATATTAGGATGGATACTAAGTGGAAAAGAATTTCTGCTCATATGAATTTGGAAGCCTCTGGATTAAACAAAGTTATACAACTTATTTTCCTTTTGACTTCGAGACAGTTCTGAGCTTTTTAAATGCATTCTGAATCTCCAAAACAGGGATACTATATACATTATTCCCCAAACTCAGTTGACTATGGTCCACTTTTGGTACCAGTGTTCTGAAGAAAATATTTTGCAAAACATGAATGTAACTGTAATTTCATGCAATGGAAAAACACAGCGAAAAAGACTTAGGCAGTATGAGGAAAGCTATTTTTGAGGGATCACTATCCTTTACATGGGCAGGCCATCCCTGCTAGGGGGTCTTTTCCCAGGTTAGCTCTTCTCTGCAGGTATGCCTCCTTATAGACACTGTCCAACTTCCCTTTTTTGAACTCCAGGTTTTTCTGAAATGTCATACTTTTTACAACAGCTAGTGGGAGCTCTGGAATGAGGTGAGAGTAGGTGTGACACAAATAGGAATCATCATCCGTAAACTGGATTTCTGTGTATCACAAGTTACCTATATATAATGAAGTATATTCTGATAACTGCTGCCTATATTAACATCTCTAAATACCTGAAAAGAAAAACTAATCACCAAGAACATAAAGAGTAACATTTAATTTTCCCAGCACCATTTATTGAATAGAGCTTCTTTTCTCCAGTGTACGTTGTTGTCTGCTTTGTCAAAGATCAGCTGGTTGTAGGTAGATGGTTTTACATCTGGGTTCTCTCTTCTGTTTCATTGGTCTATGTCTCTATTTTTGTACCAATACCATGCTGTTTTGGTTACTACAGCCTTGTAGTATAGTTTGAAATCTGGTAAGGTGATGCCTCCAGATTTGTTCTTTTTGCTTAAGATTGCTTTGGTTATTTGGGCTCTTTTCAGGTTCCAAACAAAGTATAGAATTATATTTTTTCTAGATCTGTGAAGTAGGACTTTGGTAACTTGATAGCGATTGCACTGCATCTGTAAATCACTTCGGGTAGTACAGACATTTTAACAATGTTGATTCTACCCATCCATGAACATGATATGTTTTCCCATTTGTTTGTATCCTCTGTGATTTCTTTCCTCGAAGCTTTGTAGTTCTCCTTGTAGGGATCTTTCACCTCCCGGGTTAAGTACATTGCTAGGTATTTTATTTTCTCTGTAGCTACCCTGAATGGTATTGAGTCTTTGATCTGACTCTTGGCTTGACTGGTGTAAGTACATAAAAATGCTACTGATTTATATACAATGATTTTGTATCCTGAGACTTTGCTGAATGTATTTATCAATTCCAGGAGACTATTGGTGGAATCTGGGTTCTTCTAGGTACAAGATCATATTGTCGGCAAAGAGTGATAGTTTGACCTCCTCTTTCCTGATTTGGATATGCTTAATATGCAGAAGAATGAAATGGGACCCTATCTCTCACCACTCACAAAAATCAATTTAAGATAGATAAACGACTTAGATCTAAGGCATGAAACCATAAGAATTCTAGAGGAAAATATAGGAAAAACTCTTATCAGCCTAGGCAAAGAATTTATGAAAAAGACCCCAATGGCAATCACGGGAACAACAAAAATTAATAAATGGGATTTGATTACACTAAAAAGCTTCTTCACAGCTAAGGAAACAATCAACAGAACAAATAGACAACCTACAGAACAAGAGAAAATACTCACAAGCTACACATATAAGGGCTAATAACCAGAATTTACAAGGAACTCAAGCAAATCAGCAAGTAAAAACAAACTCTATTAAAAAGTGGGCAAAAGACATGAACAGATGTTTCTGAAAAGAAGACAGACAAATGGCCAATAAATGTATGAAAAAATGCTCAACGTCACTAATCATCAGGGAAATGCAAATTAAAACCACAATGAGATATCACCTTACCCCAGTTAGAATAGCTTTTATTAAAATGTGCAAAAACAAAATGCTAGACGTAGATGCTAGCGTGGACGCAGAGAAAAAGGAACACTTATACACAGTTGGTGGAACTGCATATTAGCATAACCTCTATGGAAAATGTACAGAGCCTCCTCAAAAAACTAAAAGTAGATCTACCATTTGATCCAGCAATTTCACTACTGGGTATTTACTCAAAGGAAAAGAAGTCAATTTATCAGAAAGACGCCTGCACTCAAATGTTTATAGCAGCACAATTCACAATTGCAAAGATATGGAATCAATCCAAGTGCCCATCAATTCATGAGTGGATTAATAAAATGTGGTATATATTTACCATGGAGTACTCAGCCATAAAAAAAGATGAATTATTAGCTTTTGCAACAATCTGGATGGAACTGGAGACCATTCTCCTACGTGAAGTATTGTAAGAATGGAAAAACAAATACCACATGTACTCACTATTAAATTGGAACTAACTGATGAGCACACAAGTGCACAGAGCGAAGCAAAACTCAGTGGAAAGCAACCCGGTGGAGGCGGGTTAAGGGAAGGGGAATAAACCAACCTAACGGGTACTTTGAACAGTATTTGGGTGACAGGCACACCTATAGCCAGGATTCAAGCATTGCAAAAATGACCCATGTAACCTAAAGCATTTGTACCCCCTAACATTTTGAAATAAAAAATAAACAAAAATAAATATCCATTGTATAGGAAAAAAAAAGTAACATTTAAAAGAGTAAATACTAGTAATACTGGTAATTTTACCAAATGTAAGAAAACACCATTCTGAAGTACTAAACGACCCTGTGGTAATAACTGTCACCAGTTGCTTGGAGAACAGAACCATGAATAAATACAAACTATATCAATGTTCTGACTGTAGATGAATACTGTAATAACTGGGTCACAGACTTTAGCTGATAAAAATTTGTGTAAGAAAGCAAAGAACAAGGTCTCATTAACTTTCTAGATGTTTAAATTCAAGGTAAAATGTAAATACCCACTACCCCCAGCCAATGATAACTAATATTTATAACAATAATTCAAAGATACCATAAGATCTTAAAGTATCTTCTGAAACATATGATGGATTGAATAATATTAAGTTTCTCTGAATATTGGAGATATCTGTAGAATACTAATTTTTATTAACTGGATTACTTTCCCAACTATTCAGAAATTAGGCTATTTATATCTAAACATTACCATTAGATGGCACAATTTATGATCTATTCTAGTCCCATCTCATCTATAAAAACATGGTGACTATACATTTGGGTATACACACAGAAAGTCCAAATTCATGCTAAAAGATCCCATTAAACATATTCAGTGCAGCAATCACTTTTGGTTTTATCCTACTTCGTATTACACAGTCAGCTTTACTAATGATAATAGAGTCTAGTACATAGTTTCAGTTAGTACCAGAATGAGCAAATAAATGCTATCGGTTAGTTGCAAACTTGTGTATTAAACATATAAGTAAAGGTGTAATGTTTTCTATATTATTTAGCATTCCTTAGACCTCTTAAAAACACCAATTCTCCCTAATGTTCTGTCCAAGTCAAAGGGGAAGAAAATATTTAGTTATGAATACCCATCTTGAAGCCATTTTATATATACTAGTATAGTAAGGAATTTACGCACTTAAATACATGCCTAATAGGATACAAAATTCTTTTTAAAGCAAATCACTGAAGTGAGAACAATGCAAGAAATACTGTAAAACAGGGCTTACTTTCACTGCGGCAATAAGACGAATGTAGTCACTAAGTAGTTCTGAAAACATATAAAAGTCAGCAAAAGCTTGCTCTTGATGTAACTGGTCTATCTTCTCCTCAACTTCTGCAAGCTGAGACAAAGCTCTAGATAAAGCAGTATGATCCTCAGAATTACCTAACATGGCAGCACTTTTAGCAAAGGCAGCTGTGTTGGCTGAAAGTTCTGAAATAAAAAAGTATCCATTTTTAGTGTTCACTAGTAAAATTTTAAAATATTGTATTAACTTTCTATTTTTCTCTAAATTTTACCTATTCACAAACTGCTCAAACAATATTTTACATTAATTAACATAAAACAATTAGTCATTAAAATGCCTTGGGAATAAATGCCACGTGCTCAGAAACCTACTGAAAATTAAAAAGAACTACTGCCTATATTCCCAGGGGATGAACTATATTTAAATAATGTAATACAATAATCTGCCTCTTGTTTCTCTGCCGAAGTGCTCATTCTTTCTCTGTCCTTTCCTAAAGAAATATATTTTTAATATGAGAAGCATTGTGAACACTCAAAATTGATTTATACTACATTTTGGGCCTTTAAACATTTGTCATTGAAAATAATATCTATGATTTTTAATGAGAATATTATTTAGCTAACAGCAGAGAAACAAGGTAAAATTGAACATACAATTCACATAAATCTTACTGCTTTTTTCTTCATTGTGTAACAGCACTCAGTAAAATACTAGAATTTCTAAAGATATTTTTGAACATGACCATATCAGATATTTTAAATAAAGTAGATGTTGATAGGCCTAGATGCTGTCAATGACTAACAATTACATTGCCTGGAAATTGTTCTGTTGCTCTACATTACGTAAAGTCCTCCAAAACAGCCATAAAGCCCATTCCCTAAGAAACATGTAATGCAAATGGCAAAAGCTGTTACAAACTACTCTCAATAATAAATGTATTAATAGGTTTCTGTCATTATCTTAATGAAATATATTGCTGGTAATGTCACATATTAATTACGTATTAAATATTTTGGAAAAGTGATACTAAAAAGCCTTGGACTCGTTAAAAATAAACCAAACCAAAAAACAAAAAAAAAACAAATTCCTTATTGTGGATTACAATTTTACAACTCAAATTTTCTAGGAATTTTTACGAAAAATGCCCCAGATTTTTAAATACTGTGGTTCAAAAATGAAGAAAATATTTCAAAGAGTTTTCCAAGAAATAGAGACACAAAACAAATATTTTTAAGAAAATTTTCAAATACCAACTTTTGAATCTCAAGTTTTTTATTATAAACAAAGTTACCAATTGATAAGATACCTTCATCTGTTAATTTGTAAATACACTTAACAAAGAATTAATCAAGTGACCAACAGTTTTAATCCAAAATTCAAATATAGTTTTATAAGTTGAGGATTTTTCTACTTCTAAACTAGATTTCAGATCAAAATAGAACAAGAAATTTTAAATAATGAAGTTGAAATGGAAAACATTCTCTTAAACTATTGTTTTCTCTTTTCTACGATAACTTCAGAGTGTTTATTTTAATAAAGTTTAAATAAAATATTTTAATTAGCTTTATGGTGCTAAACATACAAATAACAAGGCAAACAAACCTTTTCTATGACAGACCAAGGCTTCAACACTGGCGTGAAGTTTCCTAAGTTGCTGATCCAGATTCTCAAATTGCTGCTGCTTTTCTTCAAACCACTAAGAAAAAAAATGAAAAATGGAGCTAATTTAGGAAGAACAAACCGTTGTAAATTAGGTTACCAATAACAAGCCACATTCCTGTTTTAAAGCAACAAATTAACCATGTATAACCATGGCGGTCAACTGATGTGGCTGAGAACTAAACTCAATAAGCAAATTAATATCCTATTTTCTACTTGTACAGCTTTAAAATGCAATTGTTGGGCTCATTAATTCATCTCATTATTCAAGTCGAAAAATCAGCTCTTACAGCATCCGATTCATTCATCTTGATTGTCATTTTGTTGACAGCGTCGGCAGCCTTGTTCACCATCCTCAATATTCCTGCTCCACTCAGAGCCTGTGTATTAACTGCTCTAGGCAGCTGGAATTGAATGACAAATAAGGGCAAACAAACCAGTTAAAAGCCTGGAGGTTTAACTGGGCACAAATGCAACCCCCACTTCTTCCAAAATAAAAAATAAAAAAGAAAGAAAAGGAGGTTTATTTTCTTCACTCTCATACATTTCAATAGTGAGATCTAATTTCTCAAATATACTACTTGTACATTCTCAAAGGAAAACTTAAAAAATAGACTTTCCATTTGCTTTTCTTCTGCACGTTTACATTTAGATAGAACAAACACCTTGTTTGTCAAAATATATTAAGAAATTGCCAAGCACCCTAACACTAGCCACCTGTTTGCCAACAGAAATAAACTGTTTATAAGGAAAGAAGAAAGTCTTGAGACAAATTTTATGCTCAGTTAGGATTGTGTGGTTTTGAGTTTTTAAAAAATTCCAAGACTCAAGTAAATTTTTAAAAAAATCTCAAACTAGAACTCTAAACTGTTCTAAAGAGCCCATTATGTACCAAACATCTCAAACATAAAAGAGCATCATGGTTACAATTTATACTCTTTCAAGTCACAAATCTGCATTTTAAAACCTTAATAAAGATATTAGATAGATGTAGACACACACATTTAACTTTCTCTAAAATGAGATTTGAATAACTTATTTCAACATGATGCCTAAGCAACAACTTAGGGCATTCAGAGTTAGACTACTGACAAATCATTTTCTTAAATACGGTTTTAAACTTTCAAGAAAGGGACAGATCATCTTACTGATTTCAATGCAAAGAAGATATTTTGCTAGTGATTTAGTCAAGTAATTAAAGCACTAAGCAAAATGAAAAAAACTGTTTTATTCCATCTATTAATCCAATTTTTACTGTGTATCTAGTCATATAAATTACAATGACAAATGAGAAAATTTATATACAAAAATTCAAAGTAGAAATAATACCTCTGAGCTTTCCAAGAACTGTCTTAAATCAGGATCCTGCAGTAAAATTGGATGTTTTACTGTTCTTTGAAGATACCTAGATTTAAGAGTAAAATTGCTCCTTTATCAGTAGCATTTTATTTTAAATCCTATTTCAACAAAATAATAAAAAACAAAATAACTAGGTAAAAAGGTGTTCTCAGTCTGCCTCCTATTTGTCTGCCCTCAGTGTAATTATTTAGAATTTTACAGCAATTTAATAATTAAAAAGTTCATCTTTTGAAAATTGATATGCTACCCCTTTTCATAATTACATAAAAAGAGAAATGGCATGTGGGTGGGGGTGGGAATGGGGAGGGTTAAATAACTTACCAAACTTCTCTCTGCAAAATATTAAATTTGTACAAGGGTATATGAGCCTGTTGAATAATTTTATCTTCAGGTGGAGTCAGTATGTTCCCAGTTATAAATTCAGAGTTCTAAGATGCATATTACTATATATATTCCACTCAAAAAAATTTTAAATTGTTGTTATCACCAAAATGGGAAAGAGTCTAGCAATTTTTTTGCTTGTCAGCAGATTTAAATGATCATAATCAGCTTTGGTCCTCATTTGACAAGGACTACATTTTCTTCAGTATGTCTTTTCTTTTTTCTCACCTCTTCAAAGCTATTTCTTGAATATTTCTATAATTAAGGTTTTTCTACTTTTGGTAAATGTCTTATCTAAATATGATACCACATAAAATAAAAGTGAAAATGTAAAGAAAAACATCATCATGAAATCACTATTTGTCCAACTTCAGTCATTTTCCTTTACTAGAAAAGCTCACATTTGCCTGTCATCCATAATAAATCACTAATCATGATTCCATAAAAGGAAATAAGGTCAACTATTAATATTTTATGATTCTCAATTACTTGTCTAATCCCATTTTTTAAAAAATTATCTTTCCCCACATTAATGACTATACAAAATATTTCAATTATAATATTTTACCTCACAATATACATTTATTCTATTTCTTTAGAATATACACAGTAATTTCTTCTACCTTTTTTACAAGATTATAAAATGTGCCTAAAATTAACAAAGTATCTGAAAAAAACTGATAAACTTCTCTAAAGTCAAATTTTATACAATAGTCAAAATGACTATTAGTGTTTACATGTTAACTTCTGTTTTTATACATTTAAATAAAACATACCGTGTTAAACTTCATTTTAAGTCAGTAGTCCCTATAAGGAGTCCTTACACTAAAAAAGAGTGTTTAATAGATATGTGCAATGCAATGTACGCTGTGGTTTAAAAAAATATATGTTGCCTCTACTATGAAGCCAAGAATGAGATGCAACAAGAACACTTTCCTGTAAGTTTGAGAAATGGTGGTATTTTCCCACTAGAATTTGACTTAACAATTTTAACACTGAAATCTACCAACACTACTAGGTAATTAGTTTTTTGGATTGAATACTACTTGAAGGTAGTTTGCATAAATTGTTCATCTCAGTGCATACAATAGCTAGGTAATAACAGGTACTCAGATATTTGTACAGTAAACAAGCAGGA